TTTTGAGGACAAATAATGCATACCATCGGCTACTTGCCAGGAAAACTTCATTAGTTGCCGGGAAGTCAAACTCGTCTGTGGCTTAATATCCGGGTCATTGAAGTAATTATCTTCTAATTGTCGGCTCTTTCTCAAATAGCCCAGGAGATCTCCATACGGGACATACTCGATAAGTACAAGCAAAGGATCTAAAAAAATATGTCGAAAACAACAGAGAACATTGTCTACATTATCACCTAACGGTGATAATAACAGCAATGGGAAAACGAAAAACTTTGCAGTTATGCCAAGAGCATTCTAAATTCAACTCAGGGTCTGCGGTAACCCGTAGCGATAAAACAAAATAATTGTCAACCAGGCGCAATTGCTACAAACGCCCTTTGTTGATACTGTTAGGATCAGCAATGACGGGATTAGGTATAATGAGAGTGCAAGAAATCATGAATTCAGAGCAATTTTGGCCTTAAGTTTTCAGGGTGATACAAGGAGACATAAACTAAGCAGTTTCATTTTATTTTCTGCACCTGATTCAGTTACGCAACCCTGTAACTTGATAACGTGTGGATGAGGCTTGAGTTTCTTCAGGACTTCAAGCTCTGACAGCAAGTCTTTCCTCTCTGTGTCTGTGGCGTTACCTAGAGAAAAGGACGACTTTCCGGTAACAGTAAAGCTTTATCTTAACTAAGACGCTTTTTAGATAATGAATAGAGTACCTTTCAGCATTTTTATGGCAACTGTAATTGTCTCCTCTCTTCCTCGAAGGTTTGAAGCTTTTCCCTGGGCGACTTGACCAAAGGCACCTTTTCCAATAACCTTTTCAATCGTTACATTTTCTCTTTCCACTTCCCATGAGCGCGTTCCTGGATGCAGGGGAGCGTATTCGTTTATTTCTAAATAACTTCGCGCTGGGTCCGTGGCAGGTTCATTAAGTGATCTAACTTCATTCAGTTCCATGTAATTTCCGCGACCATGATGCACCACGGTGCTAAGGTTCCCATCGCTACTTTCCAGTTCAATTGCCTCGTTCTGTTTTCCAATCAAAAGAGATTCACGCTTAGTCTAACCTGTTTTGTTCCCATTCAGATTGGTTACTAGCAAGGAAGAGGTCTCGTAATTTTAAGGGAAGTTTCATGCAAAATTTAATGGGTGCATTTTCCAGTCTATGGAATTATTTCAATCGCTCTGACGAAGGGCTAACGCTCGAAACGTCAGGTTTTTTTACCCTTTACGGTGGCCAATTTACCATTTCAACTCAGTTGTTAACACTAAATTACCTGCTATACTCTCCCACCGATGCAGCACCACAGTTTCTTTAGAAACTAACCCCCTTTAGGGAATTGTACGTTTTTTCATTTTAATTCACTCGTTTTGCGACCAGAATAAAGGAGAATCGCACGCAATCGTAACCTTTCTTACGACAATCGGATAAAATTTTAGAGGATTCTTGAATACTATGATGTCATCCACTGAACTTAACGCTCTTTCTGTGAGCACTTGCGAATGAGTACTAAGAAGATTTGACTCGTAAAGACAGCTTCAATTTCTTCCTATGTAACACTATCTTTATACAACTGATTCACGGTATTCAAGTCCCAAGGGCCTTGAAAAAAAATTGAAGGTATGCGTACTTTGCTTTAGCTTTCAACATTTAATTGCCAAACAGATATTTGCTGATCTCACAGAGTAAGTAGATTATTCGAACAAAATGTACTCCGTACTTACAATGTGAGGCCTATGTGACTCTTTAAGGACTGTATTAAGTCTAAAAGAAAATCAAACACTAGAAGTAGTTTCTAAGAAACTGACTAAACCTTACACACAAAATATTTGTTTTTTTTTTTTTGTAAAATGTTCACTACCATATATTGGTTTATCATGCAACGTAACAACACTAAATCGGTTTCACTCCGTTTTTTCTTTCTCTTACTGTTACGCTTTTATATATGGGACAGTATTAACATATACTAACAATAGAAACTTTTCACAAGACTACCATTACGAGCAAAGCCTGTTTTTTACCAATCTGATCTACAGATGTTCTTCTAACATTTTATTGTAATGACATCTTACCGATCATCTTTTTCACCTAAGAAGTGTGGAAAGAACAAAAAAAGACATTAGATGAAGAGAAAACAGCTGCGTAAATTATTTTAAAATTCAAAAAGTCCTCATCAATTAAGCTTCATGTATTTCCAGCTCCTTCGCTTGTAAGTACTTCCATTCAGAAATAATAATAATTATATATTGAACGAGAGTAAGCGTAATGCCGCTAATTGATGTCATGAATTGAAAGACTTTGCGAAATGATTACTCCGACTCCTGAGTGTTTCTTCTTTCCTTCCCCCTCTCAGTTTCCATTATATTTTTCAAATGAATCTCCTTTTGTCAATCGTCCACAAATCATAAATCTCGGTTACTGGCATCTCGAATCAGAGCATCTACCAACTAAATATGGTAATTAACTCTACTTACGTTTGTGGCGCTTCCAGGCAATGAAAATAATAGCAACAGCGAACATAAAGGCGAGGACCCCAATAACTGAGCCATAAATAGCATCCTTATTCACTTTTGCTGGTTCAGATGGAACTGGACGGGGAACAGTAACTAAATCGTGAATAAATGACATA